GGAGCTCTCTCACCTCCACTGAGAAAGAACTAAGCCTCTAACCCTTGCCGCCAGCTGTGTGGTATCACTGCCATGCCCCCTTTCCAGATGAACTTCACAGCAAAGGCTCAGAGATGCCGAGTGGCTTGCCAGAGGCCACACAGGGAGGAGATGGGATATGAACCCAGGCTGCAAAAAAACAAAAAACTTTCACAAACCACCCTGGGACTCTGTCCTGGCCCACCCCAGCCCTGACTCCTCCCCCAGAAATCCCCCCCCCCACCTCAACCCGAAGGCTGGGGAGGGTTCAGAGGGCCAGAAGGGGGCCATCACCGGGAACCACATCCTGTGACAGTTGCCCTGGGGAGAGCTCGCTTTCTCTCCAAGTCTGGGACAAGTGAACGGAAAACAGGCCCTCGTCAGCCCCGCTGGGCAGGACCCACAGCCCAGCCTCCTGTACCATCTGCCTGCTCTGGGAGGAAACCTGAGCCCCGGGCAGAGCCGGCCGCTGGCCCTTGCCACTGGGCCCAAATCGCGGCCTCTGGGCTGACAGAGGGAAAGGATTCCTCTGTACGAAGCCACTCCACAACCCGTCCCCTCCGGGCATATGCCAGGCTCGTTTCAACTCCCCCGGGCCTGGGAGCGATTCTTTGCCAGGCGGCAGCTCTGAGCGTCAATCACATGACCCTGCCTTGGAAACCCGTGGAGCTACTGAGCCAGCGCCGGCCGAGTGGGGCAGAGAAGAGAGGGACGCAGCCACTGACCTCCCTCACGGGCATGTCTGTGTCCACCTTGTCCCGCCCTCCACACACACACACACACACACACACACACGCGTGAGAGTTCAAGGACTTGTCACTCAATGCCCCATTTTTATTCAGCAATTACTTTAATCTCAGGACACTCGGAACAGGACACCAGCAGCCGGCCCCGAGCCCTCGGGCCTCTCTCTGGAGGCTGCCGGGACGTGTTTGTGGCTCTGGGTGCGACACTGTATATTCCCATGCTCCTCGGGGAAGCTCCCAGCAATCCAAGCAGACAGATGGGCGCGAGGTACTTCGCACAGCCTCTGGGCCCCTCCTGCTGCCGTGGGCACTGGTGCCCAGCTCTGGGTCTATGGGGGAGCTGGGCTAGGGCCATCGTCGTAAGCCATGGGAAGCTTAGAATAAGGATCTTCTGTCCAGGGACGGTCACCGCAGAACAGGGCTGTGCCCCAGTGGGCTCCGAGGGTCTCTAGAGGCTGGGCTGGCTGCGGGCGCCAGCACCTTGGTCGTGGGGGAGGGGCAGTCGTCCCGCTCGCGGTCAGCTGGCGGTTCCCAGGAAGGCTGGACTCCGTGCCCGGGCCCTTGCCAACCTGGGCCAGTGGGTGTGCCACCCCCAGCCCCAGAATCCACCTGCCGAAGCAGCCCAGCAGCCCCCGCACATGGGGCGTCCCTGGGCAGCGCTGGGACGGGGCCTGTTTCTGTTCTCTCAGCACCTCTGGGCCCGGAGTCGTCTGAGAACCCGGGGAAGCAAACGCATCGTAGACGCCTGAGGACCCGAAGGGGCCTCAGGAGTCATTCAGCTCAGGCCCTCCTTGCAGCCTGCTGAGTGGTGGCCCAGGTGACTCGTTCATCCTTGAGACGGAGAGCTCACCACCTCTCCGAGGCAGCACCCTCCACCTTGTGGCTGTTTGGGGCCGGGGGAGGGCTGGGCCAGCAGCTTCTGTTTGATGGACGGAGACTGAGCGGTGCAAGGTGAGGGCTTTCCTTGCATCTCTCCGGGGGAGGCTTCTCAGCCCCCTGGGGGGGGGGTGGTGAGCTGGGAGGACGGGGTGGGAGAGCGGGGGCAGGTAGAGCAGGAGTCCAGCGGAAGGGAGTCGCCGGAGCCTCTCGTGGGCCCGGCCTAGGATGCCCCGATGTCGTCATAGTCCTCATTGCCAGTGGAACCAGGCTGGGGCCTGGGGGATCCTGTGTGGCCAGGGGGCTCGGGTTAGTGGGAGGCTGGTCACCGCCCCTCCTAACCCCATGGGACGGAGCCGAGCGGGTCCGAGTCCGCCCCCTCCCCTGTGATGCCGGGCGGTGTGCAGTGATGAGACTCCCGTTGTATGTTCTTGGTCGCGGCCAGCTCCCTTGCTGGCCTGTCAGCCCAGAAGGCAGAGCCTCGTCTGTGCAGTGTAGGGCTACAGTCCCCAAGTTTGCATAGGACGAGCTGGGCGACTGAGTGCTGGCAGACGCCCGCCTCCTCAGTGTGCCCCCCAAGGGACCATCGGCTGCTTCTGTTTGAATGCCTCCGCTAATGGGGAGCTCACTTCCTCTCCAGGCACTCTTTGAGTCTTTCTCTGTCTCATCCCCATCCATGTTCCCCACCTCCTCATTTTACTTCCTTTCTTTTCCCCTTGGGCCGATGGATCCGATGGATCCAGAGTTCCCCCTACGCGTGCACCCGCTGCCCCTGACCATCCCCCCCTTCTGGGACCCACCTCCCCTGCCGCTGGCACCTGGATACTGAAACTGGTCCGTCGAGGGAGGCTGGGGCGGCGGCTGGAAGTTCTGGTACCACTCCCCGGAGGAGGTGCTGGAGCTGTCGTCAGCCGAGGGCCCTGCCGGAAAGCCCCGGAGCCGGTCACTCTCTGCCTGGGGACAGCCAGCTCACGAGCTGCCAGGGCTAGGAGGCCCTCCCGACTCACAAGAGTGAAGTCCCTGGCTTGGCCACGAATAAGAAAATGAAGGTCCGGAGAGGGGTGGAGGCTTGCCCAAGGTCACACAGCAAGTGGCTGCAGGGCTGGGGCTGGGATCCCGAACTCAGCCTGGCTCAGGGCTTCCGGCTGCACGCTTCCTCCAGCCAGGCCGGCTACGGGATGGGAGGCCGGGGTACACGCAGAGTCCACCTGGGCCCAGCTTACCTGAAAAGGTAGCCTGGGAGCCAGCCAGCTCCAAGTTCGGGGGCTGCTCCAAGAAGGGGCTCCTCTCTGTAGAAAACACCTGAGGGGTCCACGGAGGTAGCCTGCTACTGGGGCTGTTGCAGTAATCCTCCCCGGAGGACGTGCTGGATCCCCTGTTGCTTCCTGGGTGGTGCTGAGAGCCCAGGGAGGGCGTGTCTGCGACGTAGTGTCCAGCCCTGGCGGGTGGGACCTGGGAGGCACTCGTCTCTTCAAGTCCTGGGCCAGGAAAGGGAGGATGGTGAGGAAAGAAGCGGCAATGCATCAAGGGGGCTTTCAACTCGGTCGGGGCCGACATCCCGTATCACCGACTCACCTTCCTCCAGGGGAGGCATCTGGAACCTGCTCTGCTGAATCTCCTCCTCCGTGACCCGGTGCCGCTGGGAATCTACAAGCAGAGCGGTGGTGAGGAGGGGTGAAGGTCCACCTCCTGGTCCTGGGAGCCCGGAGGAGGGGCGGGTGGGCCTCGGGACTTGGGAGGGGGCCCTGAGGCTGAACAGTGGAGGAGGACAAGCCCAGGGGTACCGAGGGGCTTAGAATTTCCCATCACACCCCAGGCTCTTGTCCAGCCAGACCCCAAACCTCAATCGCTAACCAGCACGGGGACAGGCTGCTTCTGGCCAGAGACCCCAGTGCCTCGAGCCTCTCTGGCCTGCCAGCTGCCCCTCCTCCTCCTTAAGGAAATAGGAAGAGTCCTGGGCTCTCCGCTCATGCCCTGGAGACTCTGGGCAGGAAAGGGGCAGGCGGTGCCTTCTAGGAGCACCTAGAACTTTCTAGGAGCACCTAGAACTTTCCGGAGTGGAAGCCTTGCTTACATCCAGTTCCCTGTTTCAGAACTGGAGAGATGTGGATTTGTTGAGTCTTAAGGACTTGAGGGTCTGGAACCTTGCCGTCAGCTCTCTCAGAACCGGTACCCCTGAATTTCCATCACAATGTCACAGGATTTTGGACTCCTGGTCTTGCCTCTTATGTGCCTGGGCTCAGAATCCCAGGCTCTAAGGATGCCTCATCCCGGTGGCTCCCAAATGCTGATTTGTGGCACAGAGCAGAAGTGGAATCACCCACCTCCCACCCCATAGGCCCTGGTGTGCCGGGTGGGGCACAACCAACCGGTGGTCCCCAATATCCATTCTCCCCTCTGGCCTTTATCTGGACACACAGCTGCTTGGGACAGAGGTTTCGTCTGTCGTCCTCTCTTACAGCTGGGGGGGCTTAAGTTCCAGCCGGGGTGATGTGGGTGGCCGTGATGTGGGCGTCTCTGGCATCCTGCCTTTTAGGGTAGGGCATGCCCCACCTTCCCTTCCCATCCTGCTGCCCAGAATGTGGATGTTGTAGTGAGCCATGCTGGACCATGTGGACAAGGGCAACAGCTTAGGGATTGCACAGCAGCAAGAAAGGAGGAGCCTGGGCCCCTGCCGACTTCTTAGGATGCTGTCATTTGGGGACCTCCGTCACACACAGCCAAACTCTCATCCTCGCTTATATGGCGGGTCCCGGGGAGAAGGGGAATGTTTGACAAGCTCCCAAGGGACTTCACAATAGGCATGGGATTCTGTGCTCTAACCTCCAGCATTGTGTGGGCCCTGCCTTAAGCACTGTCTTTCCTCGTCCTATCCCCAGCAGGCGGGAAGGAAAGCTGGAAAAGCCGGCTGAGAGGTTCAAGCTGGGCTTGCCCATGAAGGGAGGGGAGGGTGCCAGGTTGATGGGCAGAATGGGACACAGAAGGGGTGTGGGAGAAACCATCTGAATGAATGTCTCTTGCTTGGACTTGCTTGTCTAACACAGCCACGGCCACCTTCCGGTGAATGTCGAGGGGCGGGTCTTAAGACCCCGCGTGGCCAGAGACAAACGTGGGAAAGAAGGAAGTTGGAGCCATGGAGAGGTCTCTAGGGTCACAAAGTATTGTGAGAGTCTCGGTGTAGGACCATCTGCCGTGGATCCAGTGGGTAAGAAGGGGCATTCAACCCATGTCATGCAGGGGTCACCAGATGGAACCTACGGAGGGTCCCCAGCCACATGGGCCCTCTCCCTGGTAGGGGCGGGTGGGCCCTCGGGAGCCCAGGCACTCACTGTAGAAGGTGGTCAGGGCCACGGGAGGCTGGGCGCTGAAGTCATAATGCTCATAGTCTGAGTCCGAGCTGGAGTCCGAGTCCTTGGGGGGTAGGGCCTGGACCTGGATGGGCAGCTTGGGAACTGGGGAGAGAGCAGAGTTGGGGCACGGGGGAGTGGTGGGCAGAAAGGCGCAGGGAGAGGCAGCAGAGAGCATGGGTGGGGGGGACCAGAGACAGAGCGGCAGGGAGAGCACGGGGTAGCCCATCTTGTACAAGCCCATCCAGCCTGGGTTTTCCAAGCTCCCCCCCCGGCCACACTCCAAACACGGGGAACTAACAACGCGTGTTTATTTCACAAGCACGGAGCAGTCACTACATGTCAGGCGCTGTTCTAACATTTAAAACATGATCTCGTCCGGATTCTCGGAACAACTCTGTGAGCTAGGTGCATTACGGTCCCTCTTTTATAGCCAAAGAAACTGAGGCACAGGGAGGTTCTCACCTTGCCCAGAGAAGCAGGCAGTGTGGCTCTTAACCTCGAGACCATAACATTCAGTGAGCGAATGATCTGGGCCCAACTTATGTGCTAAGTTCTGTATTCATAGTCTCTTCTCAAATACGCTGATACCGTGCAGAGAGAATATGTATATAATTTGGCTGAGTTTTGTATTGCTTTTCCAGTCACCGAATACTTTCAAATAAAGGTGATTTAATACAGTCATAATGCAATGCAATGAAACTCGAGTTCCTTTACAAGACTTTCAAGAGGTATAAATCCCTATGTTGTAAAAGATGGATGACTGATCTGATTTTTTTTTTTTTCATTCAGAAAAATGAAATAAAATTATGTTCCAGGAAACCTGGATGGGGCTCTGCAGGAAGGCTGATTGAGGCTATTGAAAGAGGCGATAATATCACAAACCTACCAGCCAATTAGCAGGGCAGAACTTTCCTCTGAGAAATGCCCTGTATTATTCCAGAACTCTAAAGCTTAGTCTAGAATGACTGCCTTGGAGGGTCCTCTGCCCAGATCGAGGCACGGCATGCTCAAGGTCCCACGGGCACCAGTGGGCTGGCTGAGGTCTCATCTCCAACTGGGGTGCTGCTTTGACCTACACAGTTCTGACTCTCCAAAAAAGGATTCCTTTCCTGTCCTTCCCAGCCTTCCTCACTCCCAGGGTGGTGGACATCGTACCTTCTTCTTTGGAAATGGTGATGGGAACATCTTGATAGCTATTGATACCCTCTGGGGTGGTGGTGGGTGGGTGCTGGTCGTTCACCATAATGGGCAGGGCTGAGAGAGGAGAGGCAGAGATGCTATAAGTCACTTTTTGGTCTCTCCCGGTCTAGCTGGTCCTGTTCTCACGGAGATGCCTCTCTCCCCACCTCTCCCTCAAATCCACACGCACGTACGCAGTCTAGTCCTCCCATGGACCACTTCTGCCAGGCATGCTGGGAAAATCCTGCCCATCGGGAGGTGCTCCCAGGGGTCTGGGCTGGGTGGCCATTGCTGGATGGTGCTCCATTCTGCTGAGTCCCTTGAGGCCCCCATCCCCCTGAGAAGGCCACACCTCAGGCCTGCTGCTTTCCCTCTCTGGGCCTTTCCTGTGGCTCCCAGAACTCTGCACCTACCGTATTTTCCTTTAACTTTCAAGAAGATGAAGGCTGTGGAGATGAGTAAGCCAAGGAGGAGAATTCCCAGAATGATGCAGAGGATGAAAAGCATTAGTTCTCGCGATTTCCAGGCTTCTGCTTTCTGGATCGTAGTAGGTTCTGGAAGCAAGAACCCCAAATCAGAAAGAGGAACGGACATAGACTTCTTGCCTCTCCAGCATCTCTGCAGCCGACTTACTTCCCTTTTGGACTTATCTTCCTCCTCTCTTCTTTTTTCCAAATGTCCCCATCTGCTTTTAGACACTTTATATTGGGAGGTGCCCAAGAAATGTTGAATGAACAATTAGCTGAGTGAGCCTTTCCCCTGGCCACCCGCTCAGTAATCATTGAGTGCCCACTGTGTGCCCACTAGGCTCTAGGGATACAAATACGACATCGGCATCATAGGCCTTGAGGGCCACTGTCTAGTGGGGAGATCAACACGTTGACTCAATCCAGTATGGCGCCAGGCTTACTGGGAAGGAGGTATGGTCAGGCATGAGGCCTTACAAGGGGCCTTCTCTGGTAGGGCAGGGTGGGAGGTGGACACCGAGGCTGGCTTTCCAGAGAAGGTGACGTGGAGCCACCTCTGGCAGTGAACAGACCATCAGGAGGGCGAGATGTCCTTTCTGTGCCCTGGATGCATCGTTCCCATCAGACACGTACTCCCTGAGGGCAGAGGTGAGGGCCGTGATTCTGGACCTCCCAGCTCCGCAGCCCTGATGTGACTTCCTGTCTTCACCCCTCTCTCGGTGCCACCCCTGCTAAAAAAGAACCCAAAGCCTGCCAAGAGGCTATAATGAGGCAGGTGCTTGGAGCCCTCGAGAGAGGAGAGACGGGACTCATCTCCTCCTCGGTGTTAGGCCACAGGGCTGGATGAAGGGTAGTGACAGCACCACAGGGGGCTGGTGGGATGCGAGCATCCTGACCCCCTGGCTGGGCATAGTGACTGCTCCCCACTGCCAAGAAATTACCCTCTCCCTGTTCTCATTTTTTTCCCCTCCCCTGCATCTGCAAAGGGCTTGACTTGAACCAGGGTGGGAGGTGGGTTTAGCAGCAGGAAGTGGGTGTAAGAGGGAGGCTGGGCTGCGGGGGCCACGAAGAGACCAGTGAATTCGGGCCCAGAGGGACAGGCTGAAGGCAGGGCTGTGGGGCCAAGGGCTAGAATGTGGATCTTTCTTTGCTCTTTGAGGGCTGATGAGGCTTCCCACCTTGACCTCAGAGAGAGAGAGAGAGAGAGAGTATGCGAGCGGGCGTCTGGGGTCCTGGCAGGAGTTCACCCTACAGCCCGTACCCTTCCCAGCGTTCCATTCCCTCTCTGTGCCTTCATCCATCGCCAGTTGTCTGTCGACTTAGTGCCCCTCCACTCTGTCCCCAGGCCCCTGTCCACCTTCCTCCAGTGGAAGCAGGGGACGGCACCCAGCCGGTGAACCCCCTGCCTATCCCGGGGTTGCCAAGGGGCTCCGTGCCCGAACTAAATAATCACGAGAACATCTAATGCTCCGACGGTGCTTACCGTGTGCTCTGCCCTGTTCTAAGTGCTTTAGAAAAATGAATTCACTGGAGACTCACAGCAAAGCCAGGAGAAAGCTACGGCGATTATCATCCCTACTTTATAGTCAAGGGATCTGAGGCTCAGAGACACTCAGCCCAACATTACCCAGCTAGCAGGGGACACGGCTGGGCTTTGAGCCTCAGGAGTCTTCCTGGAAGTCAGCCAAGCTACACACAGCTGGCGGGCAGACCAAGCCTGGTTCAGATCAGAGCCTTGGATGCAAACTCCGGCCAAATGCCGGCTGGCTGCGCCTTCATCCTGTGAGCGCGAGCTTTTTTCTCCGGGTAAAGGCTCTAATGAGACCTCCCCGATGGGGACACCAGGAGCATCACAGGGCCGGGAACTAATGATGGCAAAGCTCTGGATCGGTGCCCGGGATGTTATTAACCCACTGACTGTGAGCTACCACTGGCCCGTGTCAGACCAGGTCAGCGCTGGCTCTCTCCAGCTCTGTTCTCCTGCCCGACAGGAGAGTGGGCTCCTGTCCATGAAATACCAGGATTCGGGAAAGCTGGGGAGCTTCCACGGCAGGGAGGGGAGAGGAGAGGGGCAAAAGCACCCACAGAATGGAGCCCGGGGACAAGGAGGGGGCGGAGGGAGTGGCAAGTCCATCGGCTGGAGGTAGGGGACGTGGGAGGCGTGCACCCACCTCCCTGAGAAACCGCACACCCAGCGACACTCACCCACAGTGACCGGCTGAACGCTTGCAGGGGCTTCAGAAGTGGACAGATTGAGCAGACTTCGGGAGCCTGTCAGAAAGCACCGATCACTTACTCAACACGTATTACCAAGCACCTACTGTGTGCCAGTCCTTGTGTTAGAAACTGAGCAAGACAGACAAGTGACCTGGAACTTGGGGGTGCATATGGGTAAGAAAACCTACCTTTCCCACCCCCCACACTAAGGAAACTTCATGCTGGGAAGTTTCTTGGGTTAGAGTAAGAGGCTGATGAGAAAAGAATGATCCTTTCTTTCTGTAAAATCTGCTACAGACCCCAAATCTCTTTTTCTGTCGAGTCCTGGGTTCGTTCTTCACATTGGCCCCGGGAGCTGGGAAGCCAACATTACGATCACTATCATTATCGCTTGACAGGTAAGGGATGGGGCTTACAAAGTCCCTCGGTGGATATCACCCGATTTCCCAGCTACCCTGCGAAAGGGCAAGGATCGGCAACCACACGGTCATGGAACTGAACCCCCCCCCCCCCCCCCCC